AGGCAATGCATATTTTTTTTTTTTTTTATTTTATTTTTTATTTTTTATTTTTTTACATGTTCATCTTAGCGACCAATATTTGTGGTAGGTCCAACTTAGTGGCTTGCCATAATAATGCATGTACAATAACAGCTCCCATTTAATATTTTCATTAAGTATAATTAAAGACCACGCTTTGATTAGTCTTAATCACACATTTTTAGGCTTTGACCCCTATATGGATCTACTATACTGTACTCCATGATTTGTCATTTTTTATCTTATGCTCCTTTAAAAAAGAGTGACATATATTTTTCCACGTTTTATATTTGAAGGGTTAATTAAAGTAAAATTATATTTTTAATTATTCTATTATATTATAGTGATTACTAAAACTAACCAATTATAATTCTCACTAAATAATATATGGAAGTTCAATAAGTATAAAAAAATATATTGTAAATTTTTTCTTAAACTATTTATTGCTCTTAAGTATTTTTTAATAAGTTAATTGATTTTAGTGGTATAACTAAATCTCTTAAAATTTTATAAATAATAATAATAATAATAATAATAATAAATTTTAAGATAATAAATAGATCAGGAGCTCTCAAGTTTAGAGACTACATTATCCATTTCATTTTATGCCGTTAATATAGTGATGGAGTTGAATTACTTTTATAATGTTCATTTTTACTAATAACAAAAATTTGAAACGTGATATTATTATTTAACTTATAATCATAATATTACACGTATAACAATTTAAACACATGTGCATGTGCATAGGATTGTATACAAGTTAAACAAAATTCACAATGTTGCGATGACAATTAAAACCAAACTGGAAAACAAAACTAAAAAACTGATAAAATCCATTTTTTCAATGATCCTGATTAATACTACTTTTCTCCATGTCCGATCAATGAAAACCAGCCGGGAAATGTTCAACAAATGGCAAGCCCAAAAATGGTGGGCCGAGAATTGTGAAAAGGTTATGGAGCTCTACAACGTCCAGCGCCTCAACCGCCAAGCCTTCCCACTCCCCACCACCCCAAAATCCGAGGACGAAAACGGATCCAATAAAACCGAGTCCATCCAAAACAGTCCCGTGACCCCTCCATTGGGCCGTGAGCGCGGGTTGGGACGACCCTTTTACCGGCCCACCGGCATGGGAATACCGTGCTCGCCTTCCGACTCGTCTGACCAACTCTCGATGCACTCGCGCTCGAATTACGACTCGTATGGGGTCGGCTCGACCCCGAAACTGTCGACCATTAGTGCGGCGAAAACCGAGACGACTCTTTCGTCTGCAACGACAGGCTCGTCGAGAGATGTCGACTACTGCTCAGGGGAGATATCTATAAGCAACGCGAGTTATTTGGAGACTGAGTGGGTCGAAGAGGACGAGCCGGGCGTGTATATTACCATCCGGGCATTGCCTGACGGTAGACGGGAACTCAGACGGGTTCGATTCAGGTCAGTCTCTCTCTCTCTTTGATTTATTTCATATTATAATAAGTTTGTGCAGTGGCGCGTCTTATGCAGTCATTCCAAAATTATATGTAAAATAATTTGTTGACACGTGTCTAGTAATATAATTATATTTTATAAGGACATAACAATGTATCACTACTCAAGAATGTAACCAGCACTCTATAGAATTTTTGTTTGTTAACTTGAATTTACTTTTTACGTTGAAAGTTGAAGTTAATCTTATAATATGCAGTCGGGAGAAATTCGGGGAGATGCATGCAAGAGTGTGGTGGGAAGAGAATCGAGCGAGAATACATAAACAATACTTGTGATTGATTAATTGGAGCACAACATAGCTGGAAAGAGAACCTAAGTACGCTTCGTTTTTGTTGTTTGAGGACATCTTTGCTACAATACCTTATTTACGGGCTTGTCGAAGTTGCTATTTCTTGGAAACTATAAAAATCGAGACAGAGAAAATGCAGGTGATGCAAAGTGCACATTACATATCAAAAGAAACATTTTGTTTCTTCTTCTTCTTCATCATCTACTTTCTTGTATTGCTTAGCTTTCACGAGATGTTGTGATAGTACGAGACTGTTGTCTGTTGGGTATTTTTAACGTATATGAATATTTGGTGCATAATATGGAGGTGATCAGGGGGAAAATTTGTCATTTAAGAGTTGTTGGCTTTCCAGTTCCAATGTTTTGGATCGATTGTACTGCATTAATGTGAGGATATTTTGGTTTTGCGGAGTGTTTTTCTTCAAAATTTATCATATGAACTCAATGTAGATAGATAAAATTATGGCAAACCAAATGGTGCCACTTGGAAATTTATATATTAAAAATCAAGTCATATTTTCTATTTCTATGTTAAGAATTTTCATATATTTAATTTATAAATTTAAATAGTTAATTAATTAATATTTTAATATTCTAATTCTCGACCAATTGAATAATGCTAAGTGTGAAATCTTAATTATTAATAATAAATCACTTATCTTCTGGAACATCTTGAGAGATTTATGTAGATCCAGAAGATCTTATGAATCATCATGGACCAATCAAATCGCGTCTTATGACTCTCAAATTTGGTAGGATTCTATCTCTTACACCAATAAATAGAGACTCCCTCTAAAGCCAAAAGAAACATATATCACACTTCATATTCAAGTTTAAGAGTTCTAGATATTCTCTCGACGAGATTCAAGTATTCTTGAAGATTTGAAGCAACATTTAAGTGCATTAAACCTCAACACTGACGTTCAATCCGAAAATAAGTTGTCAAGCCTCCGAATTACATTAGTAAACTCAAAGCTGGTGCAGAGAAGATTCAAAGATCGACTTTGCGGTGAAGACAATGACTCATGTTTTTCACATTCTTGAGAAACTCTAGCGTTTGATCTGAAATCAAGGCGCACTATTTGATTAATCACCACTTATTGTAATATTTTGCTTGCCCCAATTTAAACTTCATCTCAAAACAAAAAATCATGGCACACTATTTGATTAATCACCACTTCATTGTCACCAAGCAATATATATATATATATATAAAAAAAAAAAGCTATCGCTCATCCCTTGTGGATTAGTATACTTCCACTTATTCATTCTCATATCCTATCTTCCTGCAGATAGTTCTCACAAAGTCAACTGGTTTTATACTTTCTGAAAGAAAAATGAAACTAAGGTGATGGACCCTAGTAGACTCCTTAAGCTAGAGAATTATAGAGGCCCACCAAAAACTCTACAATTCCAAATCACAATTCTCATTGTTCACTTGGGGACCATTCAAGGTTGGACGCCTCCATCTCCCCTTGAAGCTGCTTAAGTTTCTTATCCCCCTCTATTCTCTAGTTCAATTCTTCAATTCTCATTTCTTCGTCCCATGCCTTTTTATGTCTTGATATTTTTAATGTTTTTTCCTCCGATTTATCTCCCAGAAGCATTGAAGTTCTCTTTAGCCTTCCTTCCATGGAAACAAATCTCTTCCAAGTTTTGGCCTTTCTCTGTAAAGGAGACTTCTCTGAATCTTGGGCACTTGCTTCCTGCTCCATGATAACTGGGTTGCTATCTTCCTGCTTGCCTCTCAAACCAAGCTTTCTTTAAATTTTTTTTGCCTTTGGACCTGTTGGAAAACAGTAGAGCTAAGGAAGATTAGTTCGTTTTCTGTAAGACTGCTTGGACTTCATTTTTCTCTGTTTTCAGATTGTTGGCCTCGTACTTGAACATCAGTAAGAGGAGAATTTACAAATTTTTTTCACCTCCTTGTTGGGATCTCTGGTTTCAACTTATGTGGCCGAAGAATTGGATTGAATGTGTTGACCTGTTTGCCGAGATCCCATAGATCCCGAGTTACTTGACTAGTTTACACCCGAAACATTTTGGTCATCACCAACTTTCAGTCACTCCATGTACTATCCTACTTGCAACTTATTTTGAGTTATATTCTCCAACCCAATGTCACAGGATCGATCTAGATGGCCTTGCTTGCCAAAGTAATAACACAAGTTCACTAACTTTTCGTACTTGAAATTTACTTTAGCCACTTCATTGCCTAACCTTACATTAACACATCTTTTCGTACTTGAAATTTACTTTAGCCACTTCATTGCCTAACCTTACATTAACACATCTTAATAGAAGCTCATTAACATTAACTGTCACTTGTATCCTAATTACTCTTCCTCCTCTCACTCCACCTACTTTGGAAACAACTACATTTCTCACACTCTTGAACAATCGTCCAATTTTAAGACCCACCTCAACAGTCATCCACTAAAGCCACACATTATACACTTGAGCTCCTCAAAACATGGGTGATTGCTCCTTATGTCTTCTTTCAATTCCTGAAGGATTAAGAATTGATTTTCGAAAATTCAATTAGTACCTGATACCACCTTCTTTAGGTCCTGTTTGTTCTCGAAGATAAATTTGAAGAAGTTCTGCTCGAGCTCTCAAACTTCTGCTGCATTTTGGATGCGCCATATTTGCCTCATTATTCTTTTTAGACCAAACAAGCCCACCTTCCTATCTCCCAAGACCTTTTCAAAAATGCTCATTTGACACTCTTCTTAGCTCAATTTGATATCCTTTGTGCCAATGTCAACGATCGAGTTTTCTGCCACAGAGAGCAAAAGGTTCTTTAGGCGTTTCTCCAGTTAATCTTCTCCGCCACTAGAATTTGGGCATTTTTCAGCACCGACCTCTATGAGCACCTAATAAATCTTTGCCCTAAGAAATTTCTCTCAATCACGAGAAAGTAGTTTCTCACACTAGAGAATCCCTAGATAGCGTAGTTAGTTTAAAAATCGACGTGGCATACTTTACCTACCTATAATTTTTGACTGTAAGATAAATCACCTACAATATTTAAGTTAAACTTCTCAAGTAGAAATTGTTAGATAAATCACCTACTATATTCAAATGCGTTATTCTTTGTATATTAACTTATCGAATTTAGAAATTCATATTATATGACAAGTTATATGTTTGTTCATTACATTAAATATTTGATAGAAAAAAAAATAAATATCTATTTATTATGATTTTGGATGCTCTTTAAAATTGGTTTACAAAATTTGAATTTGGTTAAAAAAAACCTTAAAAATTATTGTTATTATCACAAGTATTTCAAATATCTCTTTTTCCAGTAGAATTATTTTATATTACAGATTAAATCTTCTATAGATTGTGACAAAGTGGTATACTTTAGCAATCATTATTAACAAATTGAAACATTATTTGTACAACAAAATAAGAAAAAATTAACAATCTATTGTTTCGAAAATAAAATTAAAAAAAAATATATAATAATTATTTTTTTAAATGAAACGGAAAATCTCTCATGTCTTAAGTTTGTCCATCTACAGCCAGCATCCCAAACACATTGTATGAGATGCACAACAGATTACTCCTGAAAACGAGTGCTGCCATTGAAATGTTGTCTTCTTCCTCACTCCAAAAGCTTCATTGCACTTCAATTCACCGTCTTTGTTCGACTCCTTCAGATTCTCACTTAATTCAATCATTCTCATTTTTCTCACGCTTCGACAATAACTGTAATTTCACTGACAAAGGAGTCAAATACGGTTCCAGAACGACGCCGTTTCGTGCAACTTCATCTAGAACGATGTCGTCTGTGGCGTCTGAGCTCAAGGCGGAGGAAGCTAGGGTCCCTCCTGCTATTCCCCCGCCTAATCCTCCGATCACCAAGGCAAAAATTTTCTCTTGATGTTATTATTAGTTCATGCCACCTCTTCGTCTGCGCGTGCTTTTGTTTTTATTGTGGTTTGTGTAATTTGTCCGCAAATGCGAGCAATTAGCGCTTTTTGTGGTAATTGAACCCTGGGTTGAATTGCGGGTTTTGGAATAGTTAGCTGAGTTGTGTGTGTGCTCTTGCGTAACCACATATAAATAGTGAGGTGTGGTTAACTTACGAATTTATAGTTTGGCATTGTATACGTTCATTCGAAACTAGCTTGGTAATCGGCTTAGCGGATCCTCCTGTTTGGTGTGAGTTGGCCAATGTTGATTTCGTTTTGAATCTTAAGATGAACTGTGTTTTATGTCTAAAGAGAAGAAAGAAAAGAAGTAATCTCTATCCTCTTTTCAAATTTTCGACTTGTATCCAAGTAGCGTGTACGAGCTCTACACTCGTTACACCTTTTTATCACACTTATCACCACAGTATTGATCACTCGATTGTGTATTATTTTCAGTTCAAGATTGCACTTTGCCAGTTAATGGTGACGGCTGACAAGGAAAAAAATATTGCTCATGCTCGTGAAGTAATTAAGGATGCTGCAGAGAAGGGTGCTCAACTGATTCTTCTTCCCGTAAGTAGGAGCTGTATAAATTTTACTGTTTCTTCTCTAGTTAACTTTTCTGTAAACTTATTCTACCACTGCTTGCTTGTGGTAATAAAATTATGGTATTGAATAATATTTCAAAACTTAGTTGTGAGAAGTCAGAAGAAATCCGTTCTTTAGTTAGACGTGATCTTCAAAAGAAATTTCTGTAACTTAATTTTTTGGGGCTATTATCATTTTCTGAGATTAGCACTTGACTGAACTTGCAGTGCTCATTTAAGTACTTATTCATCTCATTGTTTTCTTCAAAAATATGAATTACTAATATTTGTTTTAACATACCCTTCATCGGTTGATGTCAGGAAATATGGAATAGTCCATATTCAAATGATTGTTTTCCAGTATATGCAGAGGATATTGACGCGGGTGATGATGCATCTCCGTCAACTGCAATGTTAGCTGAACTTTCTCGTAGTCTGAAGATCACAATAGTTGGTGGATCCATCCCTGAACGAAGTGGTGATAAGGTGTACAATACTTGTTGTGTATTTGGCACAGATGGAAAGCTTAAGGCCAAGCACAGGAAGGTGTGTGTCGAGTTTTCATTGAGTACCAATAAAAACACGTAATCTTGGGTTCATTGCTGGAATTAGCTAACTGAGCGTATATGCATTTTGACTCCTCATTCAACTTCTTGGTTCCATGGTTAATGTCTCATTGATGATTCTGATTCATTTTGATTTTTACAGATTCATCTCTTCGATATTGATATACCTGGACAAATGACCTTTAAAGAATCAAAAACTCTTACAGCAGGGGAGACCCCAACCATTGTGGACACAGGTGTTTCTTTTTTTTTTGCTCTATGTATTCGAGAATTAAGATACTTTCCATTAAGGAGGCATGTCGTCGACTTGAGTAATGTGTTTATGCTTGAAGAAAAGCATGATATGTTATATGCAATGTGCTTGAGTAACATTTATTGAGGTAAATAAAACATATTTTCTGGAGTTTTTTCAAAATTTTCCACAACTTTTACAGCTAAGGAATCATGTTATGAAACTTTGTTTGTTATTTTTTCCATGTATTTGGCTACCACTCTAAGAATAACAGTATAATAAGTTCTTCTTTGTTCATTGCTAAGGCTTAATAGTTGTTATTTTGGCTGCCTGTTGCGGAATAAAAAAAAATTCAGATTGTGTTTGCGTGATTGAGGTTTTTTCAGTTGAGTTGATTGACTTATGTATGATGATTATAATCAGAGTTTCTTTCATGTAGATGTTGGTCGAATTGGTATAGGTATATGTTATGATATCCGATTCCAGGAGCTAGCAGCTATATATGCAGCCAGAGGTATTGTTTTTTGTTTTGATATTCACATAGATTAAGATATTCTGGTTTCACTTCATTTGTCATGTAATTTTTTTTTTTTTTTTTTTTTTTCNTACGATTATTGTTCATTAAACAGGAGTAGTAAAAAGGATATGTTCTTCATTAGTGTGAAGTATATTCAGGCTTGATGTATCTGTGATAATTTAAGCTTCATCGGGCAATGTGATTGTGTAATCATGAAGAATACATCATTTTCCTTGTAATGTAATCTGCTGTCTTGAAATTAACTACCTCCAATTTTACTCCGAAGATTTTCTGTAGAAGTGCTTTACCCAGTTTTCCCATTTTATCTGCTACTTTACCCCATGCATTACGTCATTTTAGCACTGAAGCTACTTTAGTTACACTTAAAAGCTTTAAAATAGGTTTTTGTTCACATAGGTAGGTTTTCCTAAAAAGGCCAACTTTTTTTCATTATTGCTAGGCGCTCACTTGATTTGTTATCCTGGGGCTTTTAACATGACTACTGGTCCCCTCCACTGGGAGTTGTTACAGCGGGCGAGGTAATAATGTCTACCTAAAAGCTGTAGCTTAAGTCTTAATATTCCTTTTGAGGAATTGCCTTGGCTGTTTATGCAAATGTTCTTGTACTTTCACTCTCTGAAAGCTTGTGTAAGGGAAGTTTGGGTTGTAACAGCCTTGAAAGGTGCAATGTTCTTGAAGGCTGCATGAATTTGATAAAGTTCATACAATTTTGTCAACTATTTATTACTTGAAGTTAAACGAACGTAGAAATTTTTTCGCTCTCCATAATCTTGCAAGTTCGTCATCCAAAAACAAATAAAAGAAGAAAAAAAAAAGGAAGTTTCTCAGCTCTATTACGTGAAAATCCAAACATATGCTCATATTGTTGGAAAAATGTTAATCTAAATGTAGTGCTTGCTGTGGGGAGGTAAGGCTCCAGCAGTAAACATGAGACATTGAACTGGTTATTGGTCTTTGGCTTAGTCTAAAAATTAGTTGGCATTAACTAGAGATCACAGCCTCGTTAAACTACTAGTGGAATGTGTACCATTCTGGCCAAGTATTTATAATTTTTCCTTCGTTGTATGTGGTTTAGGTTATTCTACTGACATGCTTTTTTTTTTTAATCCTTCAGGGCAGCTGATGGTCAGGTACTTCTTTCTTTGGTTCCTTTTTCTTTTCCAGAATGGCTTACAAGCATTAGCTGTTAAATTATTTTTCCATACTGACAAAAGGGAGTTTTGGCATTGTTTTCCTGGAGCTTCGTGCTCATGCTATTATATAGGACTTTGGAAAGCTGTAATCCTTATTGTTTCCAATTAACAAATCCAAAATACCTTAACAAAACATTGGGAACAGATTGAATCAATGAGTTTTACAGTGGTGTAGGAATAGTTCACAAAATCCATGATTTAGATGCTATGATATCTTCTTGCTGTATGTGAACTATTCCTTTATCCATGCATTAATGCATATGGCTTGTTACTCCACTGACTTGAAATTCAGGGCTGTCCAGTTTTATGCAAAATTTGAATCTTCCATACCTGATAATAGTCTGCAAGGCGTTTATGCATCTCTGCATACGCCAGTAAAATAAATATAAAAACAATAACTTGTTTTTTTTTTAAAAAAAATGGTTTTACTTCTGGCCTGTTACTCTACCTGAGTACAAGCACAATAGATAGTTTTCTATCTCATTCCATTTCATGTGTTTCCAGTATGACATCAAGTCAAAACTACAAAATTCTTAATTATCATCTTTATTTGGCAGCTGTATGTAGCTACTTGTTCACCAGCTAGAGACACTGGTTCAAGTTATGTGGCTTGGGGGCACTCCACTCTTGTTGGGCCGGTGAGTATGCAAACTTCGTAAGGCTGCAAAATCTATTTATATGTAATTTTCTATTGATTTTGATTTTGAAATGCTGGACCATAACCCATTCAGATTATCATTAGAAGTCCTGAAGTGTAGTAATTCCTGATTTCTATGGAGAGTTCTACTTTCAATGATGATTAAACAAATGACTGTATCTGGCAGTATGGCGAAGTTCTTGCAACCACCAAACACGATGAGACGACAGTTATATCAGAGATTGATTATTCCCTTATCGAGCAAAGAAGGTATTTTTTTTTTTTCAATAGCCATGCATGAACTTCTTTAAAGCACTTATTTCTCCTCTTGCCACATATGCATAGATGAATGAACTATCCGATTATTTCATCTTTGCAATAGTTGTCAGATTTTTAATTGCTATTCATCCTGACCTAGTATTTTGAATGTGTGGATCAAATCCACAAAGATAATAATAAATACAGAATCATTTTCTTTATTTGAACTCAATATAGCAGAATCTTCATCCTGGATCATATTTGTCCTCATATTGTTTTGTCTCTATATGTGTGCTTGGAGTAAAATGGTCAATGCATTAAAAAAATGATGATTCTGCTGGATTTCCCAATCCCCTCTAGGTGAATCAAAACCCGACCAACAAAATCCCAGGTCCAAGATACTCGTAAGTCTTACCAACAGGCTTTGTTGGCTTGTTGCACGTGTGATTAAGACCTTGTGTGTTAAGGTCAAATGCATCCCTGTTTTTTCTGCTTTTGATCTGCACGGTTATATGATTTGGTCAATTTAATGGAGTTTTGTCGGGGACATGTCGAGATATATATTCAAGTTTTACAGAGCGTGCGAATGAAAAAATCATTTGTATTTTTATTATTGCCACACTAATCCAAAAAGAATTCACGTAAACAAATTATGTGTTAAATATTTGGACTATCAACCAGATTTTGGATGTGTAAGTGAATTACGAATTCCCCCTGAAACATTTTGACTTCTGCATGTCAGAACATTCCTTCCATTTCAGAGCCAACGTCGAGGGGATCTTTACCAGCTAGTTGATGTTCAGAGGCTACATCGAAGTTCGACCAGTTGAAAAGTATCCTATTTACTCAGTGAATAATCAGTTGGTGAAACTGGAAATAAGAAGCGTCACATTCAAAAGACTCAACCAGTGTATGTTTTACAACATATTGTTGAGGTTTTACGTAATTGTCGTTGAGGTCAAGTTATTATCGATACATATGCAGAAAACTAAATAAGTGTCTTTTAGATTTAGTGTCAATTAGGAAGTTCTTACGCTTGTCCATGGAACTATTGTAAGATGGAACTAACTAAACGAGTTCGACCTATTTTTGAGCCTTAACGAACTTTAAATAAGCTCCAGCTCGGCTTATCTATCAATTTTTATTTTTATTTTTTTTTTTCCTTTTTGTAACATTAAAGCATATATGAGAAAAGGTGTGCGTAATTTAGAGGATTATCACCCTTTTTCTCATTAATAATTGGGTAAAAAAACAAGAAAATTTTAATTATTCCTGTAATTATTTTACTGGCTTCCTGAGTGGACTTAAATTAGGTTGTGTTGGAAACATGATTACATGTAGTGTCATGATACTGCTGGTTGGTGCTCCAAAATACACATCTCCCCATTTAATTCTTTGTCTCTCTGTGTACCAAACACTCTAAAAACATAGCTCATTGGAGCTGTTGCCAAACAGTCAAAGGTAGGAGAACATGTTGATTAAGTTATGTCTGTACTTCTGATAAATAATGGAGTAGTTTTTTGGAAAAAAAAATAAAATAAGTAGATTATTTATTTGCTAAAAAAAATAAGTAGATTTTGATCTTGAAGCATTTGGAAAAAAATATGGAGTTCTTTGTCTGTACTTGGGAACAATAATTGGCTGTGAATACACGTGGGTCTTTTTTCAATTAAGCTACTTATTATGGACTGCCCAAAAATTATTAATAACAAATAAAAGAAAGAGAAAGAGAAAATACCAATGTGGAAAATGGGGTCATAGTCATACATTTAGGAGGATTTTTAAAAGAGAGTGTTAATTTTAAACTACAAGTTTATTTAATTTATGGATTTGCTTCATAGCTTGAACTTAATCATTTTCAATATATTAAGTTCCGCTCATTTATCATGTTTGGTACTTATTTTTATAGTGAATTGATGTGTGAGTAAATATTTAGCCGGGGATTTTATAAAAAATAAAAAAGTATGTCTTTTGTATAATCCATCGGTACCTTCTCCTTGTTCATCGAAATTTATTTTAGATATTTGGTGAACAATGGATGAAATTTCGATTTGTGAACCACCATTGGAAACTTCCCCGGCCAATTTCTAATGTTTCAAAATTTCGATCGATGGTCGAGATATAATGTTGAATTTTTTAATAAGGTATTTTTTGTGAAAGTTGGAACAACTAAAACTTCAATTAATCATCGATCAAACTAACAGAATGCACCATATGTGATTAATTAATAAAGTTTAGGATCAAAAGGCATAGAAAATGAAATTTGGGATTTAAAAAGAGAAAATCATGTAAATTTGGGTACTATTTTTTTTTCCTTATGGAGATTATTGTAAGCCTGTAAGGTCAACTACTGGCACTTGAAATAAAGAAGAAAAAGAAATGTTCCCTTTCCCTTTGTTCTCTTAATAATTAATTACGGCAAGACTCATGGTACTCTATAATAATAATAATAATAATAATAATAATAATAATAATTTGTTTACAAAGTAATTGCTAAGTAAAGCTTTCTATATGGCAAAGTCTCTGTTTTCATGTCACAACTCATAATACCCACGCGTGGTAAAGATCCTTTATGCAGCCTTCACTCACACGCACATACCCAACTCTACCCCATTGGCCCCCACCCTACTTCACACGTGTGAACAAACCCAACATACGATTTCTTTGTTAAATAATGTTAATTTAATTAACATATAATATTTTGGCATAAAAAATTGACATAACTGATGTATAAAAATTATAAAATCTTTGTCAGGAATATGTTATGTTTGTGTAAAATAATTCTTCATTTATCCACATCACGAGCATGATTGGATACAAAATATTCAGTTATGACTGATTAAATAATTATGTGAACTCAAAATCCAACTCTAATTTAACTCAACCCAACTTTCTTTAATGTTATCAATATAATTAAATAATATCAATCAATTAATCATATCACATATCACACTAACTTTATTTCACTATTTATTTTCTTACATGGTTTTAACCACACATCACTTCTAATCACATTTCACTTACTTTACACCACATTAAATTTAATAATTACATTTTAAATATCATTTAAATACAAACTCAAAATCGCACTCAAACCAAACTCAATCAACTGTTTCAAAATTAACTCAAAATTTATCCAATAAATCTAATAAAATCCAAAATTATCTTATATCAAAACTCTTAACAAATCAACACAACATGGTTTGTATATGGACAAGCCAAACTTCGAAATAAATCCTCATTCATCCACATGTTATATGTCTAACAAAATTAACACTCCACATGATATTTTCTTTAACATGCCAAATTTAAATAAGCATCTACCCAACACACATGGGCGCATTATATATATAAAAAAAAAAGCAAAAATCTGTGGAAAAAAACAAAAAAAAAAAAGTTGTGGAAATGGGTCAAACAGCCGGATTTTCAGAATCCGTTTTTCTAATTAAATTTTTAATTGAAAAACGGATTCTCACAATCCGTTTTTAGTTTTGATTTTTTTTTTTTTTTTATTATAACGGTCGAATTTAATAATAATAATACATCCACTGACTAAAACGGATTTTCAAAATCCGTTTTTCATTTAAAAACGAGTAAAACGGATTTTCAAAATCCGTTTTTTATTTAAAAACGAGTAAAACGGATTTTGAAAATCCGTTTTTATGTTGATAAATATAGCTCG